TAACCGCACCTGCGAGGCTTGGGCCGCAGGTGCGGAGCCGCAGAAGCGGCCCTGTGGTCGCATATGCGATTTTGGTGGGGGATCGCTGGGCAGTGAAGTTCCTTTAAAGCGGGGTTTGGCTCATTTTCACTCCATTCTTCCATGGGAGCCAATTTTGGAGCAACTTTGAGGTGTCATTTTCATCACCAAGCATGAGGTACGTGATTTATACTAGTTTTGAGTTAAATACATGATTATATATGGATTTGAACATGGAAATTGGTGGAAAAATTTGAATTTTGAGGAAAACCTAGAAATTTGTATTCTTGGATTTTGACCATGATTTTGGACATGAAATTGAGAGTAAATTATATATCTGAGTTCGTGAGGTTATGGGTAAACTTTATCTTCAAAAAAATCGGAATCCATGCACGTGGGCCCGAGGGTGATTTTTATCGACTTTTTGATCGGTGTTAGAAATTGTTATGAATTGGATTATAATGAGTATTCGAGCGTATATTAATGGGTTTGTATAATTATTGGCTAGTTTTGGAGCGTTGAGCATCGGTTTGAGTCGTCGGAAGGGCTTGGAAACCGGTTATTGAGCTTCGTGAGCGAGGTGAGTCTCCTTTCTAACCTTGTAAGAGGGAATTAACCCCATAGGTGAAATAATTAATATGTGCCCCTATATGTGGGGGCTACGTATGCACGAGGTGACAAGAGTCCGTGCGTAGCTACTATTATGCCTATGTCCGGGTAGTCCTAGGTTACATCATGCTTTGTTGATATTGTTGTTGATTTTGCCTTGAGAAGAAATAAGATTTGAGGTTGAGTAACAATTGTGTTGAAAGGTATTTTAATTGAGAAATTTAAGAATTTAAGTGCTTCCATTAAACTGAGTACTTTCAAAAAGAATTGAGGAATCTTAAAATAACTTAAGAAATCTATGTGTAACTGCGTCGCATGTATGTTTCGCGAGCAGGGAAAATTACCTTAAAAACTTCACGTTGAATTGTCTCTATTTTTGAAAAAAATCAAGAAAAGGATTTTGATTTATTAATAAATTTATATTTGACTACGTCGCATGTATGATTCGCGAGCGGGAAAATTCCTTGAATCTATATTTGACCGCGTCGCACGTATGATTCATGAGCGGGGTATTTACTTCTACTACTCTCATGGGAGCGGGCCGATCGCCTCGGCAGGTTAATAGATGCATCTATGGTTCGCGCCATTCGACCCTCTGGCAGTGCATAGTTTACTTATATGTTGGATCGGGTCGTACGCCTCGGCATTTCATATATATATTTATACTATTTTCATGGAATCATGCGTGACATTTGGCTAGAAGCCAGTGAATCTGGGGAATTTTTTCCTGATTTGAATTATGACAACTTCCTTAATGAAATCCACCATATCTATATATATGCTCTAGTTACGGAGGGAACTTGCTAGTTGAGAGCTTGAGTAAAATTATGAAGAAGGGAATTGTATCACGTGTTTATACTTGTTTATTTCATATACTTGCTCTGATTCATGTTTATTCCCCCTTTTAATGTACCCGATATTATTGGACCACTAGTAAGTGTCGGAGTCGACCCCTCGTCACTACTTATTCAAGGTTAGACTGGATACTTACTGGGCACGTGTTGTTTTCGTACTCATACTACACTTGCTGTGTATTTTTGTTGCACATGCACATGTATCCCTAGTGGCCTAGTGGGCGTAGCAGCATGGTTGATACGGAGACTTAGGTGAGCTTCATCTCTCGAGACGACCGCAGCCAGCAGAGTCTCTTTCAGAGTACTGTATTTTCTTTCTGTCCAAATTTGTGTTCCGGACAGTTATTGTATTTCATTTGATTCTCCTAGTGATTGCTCATGCACTTGTGACACCGGGTTCTGGGGTGATTGTGGGATAATTAATATTGAAAGTTGTAAGCACTTTTATTATTCAGTATTGATTACTTCTTTTTTTTTACTAATCAAATTAAAAAAAATTTATGGTTCCTAAAAATAATAAAATGAGAGTTTAATTAATTATCTAATGTTGGCTTGCCTGACCGAGATGTCCGGCGCCATCACGGCTTTTCATGGATTTTGGGTCGTGACACATATGAACTTAAGAGATTATCTAGGACAAACTCCTAAGTAAAAAGAGAAGCAAGGGCTATTTTTTCACGCCTCACAAACAAGATAAAGAATCAATAGTCAAAAAGTTAGAGATTTTTCAATTCTATTACGATTTTTGCTATTTCTCAAACTGAATTAGTTGGTTAATGTATGGGAAATTACCAGCTATGTCCATTTATAAGTAGCTCATTACAAAAATTGGCCAATTGATAAAATATTACTAATATTAGCCAAATTAGCCAATTAGCTATTTGTAGCAAAAAATATCAAATTTTTGCTTTGTTTTGAGTGGGTGTTATTAAAATAGATTGGGCATAACTTAAGGAGCTTGAATCTCAGTTTTGGGATGATTTGGTGAAGTTTTAAGGTGGTTTGAATTGAAAATTCGAAGTAAAAGCTGAACATGAAAAAAAAATGATACGTGTATCACACTATGTATCATTTGTGTATCACATATGTATCATATTTGTATCAATTATGTATCACATGTATATCCATGTATACTTGTGTGTGTGATACATGCGTGATACATGTTTGATACATGTGTCGCAAAAGACTTTTTTGAACTCGATTTAATTACGAATTTTGATACAAAACCAGTCCAAATCACCTCCAATCTTCCTCAAATTTTTTATATTGACTTATCTATATATTTTCAATGAATTTCAACTATACCCATTGGAAAAGTTCCTTTTTTGTTTAGATTTTTGGAATATCGTATAGATTTTTGTATTTCATCACCTTATTTGCTACCCCGTCCATGAAATTTCCTTTTCGTCTTGTATCTAATGTTGCTAATCACGCTTAAAAATATGAAAGATGATTTTTGCATGTAATTCTTTGAGAGAAAGAACCCTATTATTTGGTTTTTCAATTTTTGTTGGCTAGTTTTGGTAAGTCTATGACTAATGGCTAAAGGTTGGTAAGTTGAGATTTATTTGGGACAGGTTCATTTTTTAATGAGCCCTAAGTCTCGCATGAAGAATTCTTGTTGCAGCTTTATGATGAGAGCTTGAATGATAAAATTGGACGAAACAAAAAGTGGAAGCTTATTATAAAGAAAAGGGGCTTGAACTCTCAGCTGATTCAACTCAAGCTTTTAGCTCTTCTTCTTACTCTACTCTTCCTGACGCAACTCAGTGTCTTAAAGAAGCTTCTTTACCGGCAAGGGTCGGGATCAACTACTCTGCCATTCCTTTATTGACTGGTCTAATGAAAGAAAGTTTTTTTAGCATCTTTTAAATCGTAAATAAAATGAACCGAAACTTTTTAGCATTCGGAATGCTCTTATGTGTAGGATTCAATTCCAGTATAAAGAGCTTCTTCAATAATTCCAATTCCTGGAAAGCCTAGAAGTACTCTTCCTCTGGTGGACCCAGACTCTCCCTTATTAGGCTTCTGAGTTCATACCAGATCCATGCCTATCTACACTGATAATTCATGAATCAATCCCAATCTCTGAGTTAACAAGGACAAGTATGGATGGATTTTGCTATGGAGTTAAAAGAGAGACACAAGCATCCTTATCTTATAGAGGGGCTGAACAAGTCTACCTCCCTTTACAAAAACTGTGGAATCCAGTGGCAGGGTACTTTATTCCGATATCTCCCCCCGAGGGTGAGTTAGACTTCCCTATCCTTAAGGATAAAATAAGATCTCTTGCTTTGCCCACAAGCCCTACTAGCGTAGCAAGTCTGGTCGCTGGTGTGTTGTTCGTTCTAGCGATAGGCTCCAAGCGCGATTCTGATTCTAAATTCGGTTTTCTGTTCTGGAATGAATCTGTTCTAAAGAAAGACCTGCCTATACTGAAGAGGGGCTGGTTCACGGTAATGAATGGTGGTATCGGTCGGGGCAAGCACAGCACTCGTTCCCGCAGCCCTTGTTGCAGCTGATAGACTCAAAAGTAAGTGGGGCTACCCCGTGTAAGTTTCTCTTAATGTATTTGGCTTCTTACTGTACGCCTTCTTTGTTACTTTAATTTGAAAGAGATTACTGCACGTGTAAAGGAAAACTAAAAGTAACCAAGTCAAAAAAATTCTCTTTGTTGCAGCAACAGTGGAATAGCCTAATGTAAAATACTTCATGTGGTTCGAAAACTCTAGTGGTTGTTTTTGGAACCCCAGCAACAATGAGAAACAAATTGGAGAAATTGGATGTCGGGGTTAAGCAAGAGCAAGAAATAGTCTTAAAATTCGGGAGGAAATTTGAGAAATGTAATAGGAAAAGTTGAGGCAAAATCTGATTGTACTATTTGTTTATTTGCGTTTTTATATTAAATTTGTTATGTATGTACAAATTCAATAAAAAGTAGTCTTGCTGCCTAAGTGTATCATTTTGTTTCTTCTGAACAAGTGCACTAATACCGCTAATTCTTTATTATGGTTAAGATGAAGCAGTGAGACGTTGCAATAAAGTAATTACATTTTGTTTCTTCTGAAGCAGTGATTGTAGCAGTCGCTACAATCACTGTCCTTCGGGTGAGCACTCTGTGGTCACGGGTAAACCTAACCTCCCCTTGTGTAATAGCCTACAAACCACACGTGGATGTAAATCGCACTAGGCAAGCCCTGTGCGACAGGCTCAACCCAAAAGGCATTGAGGGGGGATTCGATCCCAAGTTATCTGTATGGATTACCACCCTCCAAATCAACTGGCAACCCCGAAGGGTTTAACTTTTCATCTTTATTAGTAATACTTAAAACTAATGAAAAACCAGCAACAAGGAACACATTTATACCCTTTACTACTCCATATCTTTAGACCAGCACACTAGGACCAACAAAAGACAATAATGAGCAGGGAAAAACAACAAACAACAGCAATAAAAACAACAACAAAATTTAGCAAAAATGAGTATCCATATACTGCAATACCACTGATTAATTAAAGATAAAAACCAGCAACATAACACCAATGCAAAAACCAGTAGCTAATTAATAAGAAATAAAAAAACTCTAAACACCAGAAAATAAATTAAAGACAAAAAAGTATCAATATTTCTTCAATATAATAAGAAGGCAAAATTCTTCAAGAATTGTCATTTCGTTGAGATGATGAAAAGATGCAATTTTGTTGAGGGACCATCGATGTACCTCTTCTAACCTGAAAGAACAAATTAAAACATTAAATATGAATCTCTTTATTTGTAAACTGTAATAAAAAAAAATCTAAACTAAAATTTTTTACCGGTAGCTTTTCAACATTATGAAAACTTGACACTCCCTCAGCCATAATCGAGTCCAGACTGCAAAAATCAGTTTGAGAAATAGCAAAAATCGTAATAGGATTGGAAAATCTCTAACTTTTGGACTATTGATTCTTTACCATGTTTGTGAGGCGTGAAACAATAGCCTTCCTTCTCTTTTTGCTCAGGAATTTGCCCTAGATAATTCTCTGAAGTTTATATGGAAAGAAACTTTTATTTTTGAAGCCTTGGTCTTTTTGGGGTGAAGGTGGAAGAAGATTGAGCGGGAGGGGCATTCTTGGAAACTTTAGAAGGAAACCCACGTACTTGGTATGCTCTTTTGCTTAGCAGTTAGTTTTTTTGACAAAACTTAACGGAAGGATGATTCTTGCAATAGCTTAAATAGTACAAGGATGTTTTTGTTCACTAAGGGGTCGTTTGGTATGAGGTATAGGAAGGTATAAGGGTGGTATAAAAATTTAATACCACCTTAATACTTTGTTAGGTTAGTAAACCAGGTATAAGTTATCCCGGTGTTAATTTTAATACTGGGATAACTTATACCTTATAAAAGGTGGGGTAATTAACACCGGTATAACTTATACCTTCTTCTTAGAAATTATGCAATTATCATTCTTAATACAACATACCAAACAATGAATAAACAACAATCACAGCATAACTAATCCCAGCACAACTTATCCCAATATAACTTATACCGGCATAATTTATACCGGTATAAATCATATTCCAACCAAACGACCCCTAAGGCGTGACAAGGATGTACTTTAGATTTGGGCATAGTTCAAGAATGATTTTTGCCAAAAACTCCAAAAGAAACGAGGGTTTAGATAAGAAATGAGAGGAAGAAAGGAAAAAATATCTTTTCGTATTAACTAGTCTTGCTCATGAATATATAACTTTTAAATATTACATATCCATATTAACCCATGCGTATGAGTTATTGAAAAAATTATAGAAAAAAAAATACAAGGTCCTAAAAATTATGAAGTTATTTAATTGTCTTCCTAATTTTTGGATTAATTAGCATATGCTTAATATAAGTAAGTGAAATGATAAGATCGTATTGATATATCTCTTTATCTTCGCTTATATTAGGGTATTTGAACTTAAAGAACAATTGTCAAGTTCTCTTTCAAAAGCTATTTGTCAATTTGAAAAATAAATTTACTAATATGACGAAGTTGGAAAATAAGTAAATTGAATTTTTTTTTAATTAGCTAATTAAGAGCTTAATTATATAGCTATTTTAATATCAAGATTCTGCTGTTTTTGTTATTTTTTAAATTATGGTCGGGCTGTTCTATTATAAGTTTGGCCGTTTCCTTCCATTAATTATATGCACATCCTCTTAGGAAATATAACACGTAAATATTTATATTTTCGTATTATAATATTATAACATTGTATATGGTAAATGTAATTGATATTGATATTCTAAATATTAGATTTTTTTTGTGTAGTCGTTTAAATAAGGAAAATTTTAATAGCAAAGTTTTAGTTGACTTCAAAGTGCTAAATATTAGGAAAATAATTAAATGACTAATTTGTCTAGTGTGAATTTTATTTTAAAAGGGTAAAAAAAATGAACGACATTTCACTAAGGGTCTTCTTGCTTTTAATATGGTATAGATATAGATAGATTATAACAGAGAAATGGCTCTTTTCGCTCAGCTTTAAAATTAGTGGCTAAACCTTAAATAGTAGGTTACAAAATGGCCACCCCGCGTCATTTCCAAATTCCTGCCCGGGTAAGTTGATTTGCAGAAGTAGCCTATTTTATAGCCTTATATTTAGAAGTTGACCACTTATTTTTAAGCTTTAAATTAGTATCTAAAGTTCGAAAATTTAAAATTTAAAATTAATATCCAAATTACGAGTTTAATTTAAATTTAAAAAAAAAAAAAAAAAAACTTCTAAGTACAACTGTTGGTTTAAATACCATACGATGACATCAAGTTTGCAATATGCTCGTAACACCCCTATTTAATATATATTAAGTTTATAAAAATAATTAAAGTTTAATCAATTTTTACAAACTTCACACTGAATCTGTTGTTGCTTCTTGCTCAAACATTCTGATATGAATTTATACTTTGCCAAAACCTAATTTCATACCTAATATTTGATGTTTTAAAAGCCAAAGTTCAAATTTGGATCTTCGGATTTGAAGTTTGACTCTTCCAATGTCTAACTTCAGACCTCATGTATGAATTTAAACCTTAGCCTCGCTCTAAATTTGGAAACTTTAAACCACCGATATTAAGAGCCCGTTTGGACATAAGAAATTTTTTACTTTTTTTCGATAAATTTTTACTTTTTTTTTAAATCAGCGTTTGGTAATAAAATTTTCGATTTTCACTTGAAGATGCATTTTGGAATTTTTCGAAAATTTGAACTCCGAAAAGCTGTTTTTCAAAATTTTACTCAAATCACTCACAAAACTTCAAAAATAACCTAAAATTATATTCATGTCCAAAACACAACTCTAAGTTTTAAATACTATTTTCACTTGAATTTTTATTTTTTATTTTTTATTTTAATTTACAATCCTTATGTCCAAGCGCGCACTAACTTAAGACACGTATTTGAAATTAATTCTGAGGCGGCTAAGCTCTAAAAACTTTGTAAATTCGGCTATTCCTTAAATAGGGATCCTAAATCGGCCACCTCGTGCAAACCATACGTACAATTTACTCTATTTTGGAATTTGGACAATGGATCGATTGGTCTTAGCCCAAGAGGTCATTAAAACGCCCCGCCTCCCACAAAACCCTATGCGGAACTTCACCGGTAATAGCTGAGTAAGAGGAGAGTGTTTCGCCGCACTACAATGGGTATGTTAATCTAATTTTAATTCAGTTATCTCTGCATTACCCTTCTTGTTTGATATTGATTCATGTCAAAATGAGGATCGCTTTATCCATGTTGACCTTTCCTTTCAAATATATTCGTCATTTTGCTTGAATGTTATAATAGTAGTATGTTAAATATCATATGTTTTTTTTACAGTTTGAAAAAGTTCAATCTCGCTTGGTAAGAATTTTCTGGGAGAAAATGTTTTATGATTTCGTTAAGAAAATGGTGCAGTAGATGGAATTTTTAGCGGTTGAAATGTAATTGTTGGAATTTTGGTAATGCTGGTTTGATCATGCAAATACATGATATGCTTATATTGGTGTTTTTGGAAAATGATTGTGGTTTGTTATGTGGTGGATATGTAGGTGCCTATACTTACGTGTCAGAGCTATGGAGGAAGAAACAGTCAGATGTGATGAGGTTCTTGCAGAGGGTGAGGTGCTGGGAGTACCGCCAGCTCCCATCCATAGTGCGTGTCACTAGACCTACTCGTCCTGACAAGGCACGTCGCCTCGGCTACAAAGCCAAGCAGGTACTTTTTCTTTTCGTTCTGATATTTGACGATGTTGAGTTGAGCTTAAATGGAGCAACATGGTCAGCGAGGATTCATGTAGTCATTCCCAACTTGCTTGTAATTGAGGCATAATTGTTATTTGATATTTGACAATGTTATCTTTTTGTGTTTTAGTATATTTTTGACAATGTCACTTGCTGAGAGGTGTTTCGGCCATGCATATTGCAAATGTTTATCTATACTCATACATAGGGTGTAGGGTGTACTAAGTTCTCTGAATCCACAATTGTTGAATGGATGCACTAAGGTGAAAACGAACTTGGTCCGGTAAAACCTGAGTTTGAGTGTTCAATTGAGATTGTACCTTTGATTTAATTCTGTTGCCTTTGACGGCATATCTGATTCTATTACAATTAAAAACATTTGATTCAATATCTGATTAAATAAATAGGCTACTTTTTTAGCCATAATTGTCGTGTCTCTTCTTATTGCCCCTGTAAATAATTGTGCAGCTCAGCATCTGTAATTTCTGTCAACATGTTGCTTCTATGAGAGTATAATGTCCCTCTTTCCATTCATTGTCATCTGAAATTGATGCATGGGATTCAAGCAAGTTGCAATTTTCTTCTTGTAGTACATCAACTGTGGTATGACTTCTCAAAGTTAGAACTAAGTAGCAGTATTGTCAATTGTCCATTTCCATAGTAGAAAGGGTGCCTTTGTTGTCTACTTTTGGATTTATATCCGTGTGACTGTGTTCAATAAAATTTGCAGGGCTACGTGGTTTACCGTGTGCGTGTGAAGCGTGGTGGAAGGAAGAGGCCTGTACCCAAAGGTATTGTGTATGGTAAGCCTACCAACCAGGGAGTCACCCAGTTGAAGTTCCAGCGCAGTAAGCGATCTGTTGCTGAGGAGCGTGCTGGTAGGAAATTGGGTGGTCTTAAGGTTCTCAATTCTTACTGGATCAACGAGGTATTTGTCTGTTGACTCTCCTTTAGCAAAATTCGATTTTTCTTCTAGTGCAGATTCTTTGGGCTCATGTCATAGAAAGCAACTTATTATGTTGTTGATTGCAGGATTCTACTTATAAGTACTATGAAGTGATCCTGATTGATGCTGCCCATGCTGCTGTGAGGAATGACCCAAGAATCAACTGGATATGCAACCCGGTTCACAAGCACAGGGAGCTTCGTGGACTGACTTCAGCTGGCAAGAAAAACAGGGGTCTCCAAGGAAAAGGACACTTGCACCACAAGCAACGTCCCTCAAGAAGGGCAACTTGGAAGAGGAACCAGACTCTGTCTCTACGCCGCTACCGTTGATCTGTTTAGATTTTCTCGACAGAGTTTCTTGTTATGTTTTCACAGTTGTAGACCTTTCATCCCTCTTTGGAAATCAAGTGCTGCAGAAACTTTTAGAACATCTCAATTTGAGCATTGGATAATATGACGATAGATTATTATGTTATACCAGTATATTTTTCAGGTCATTTCAGATGCTATTACTTGTCGTTCATTTCTTTTAAACGTCTGTCTTAATTAGACCTGTGTTATCCAGGCTCAGCCGTGAGTAGGGGGATTTGCAGCCATACCCTATATTTATGCCACCTTTTAGCTTGTACCCTATTTTTAAAAATTATTGATTTCGTAGCCAACTAACAAAAAATCCGTAATAATATGACCATTATACCCCTTCCAAAACAAAAAATCCCTTTTTTCATATGTTGTGGATAGCCAGATATATTCCATGGAAACAAAAGTTTTGTCCAGCGGAATCCGCCACTCTACTATCCCTCAAAGTTATATCCGCCCTCAATCCGATAGGCCACTCCTTTCTGAAGTCGCTGATTGTGAAAATTTGGTACTTAAGAAGTATACCAAATTGGAGGAATCTGACCAAGAGGGTTACATAAGTTAGTGAGCACCTGTATTTCCATCTAATACTTTCAACGTTCGAATCATATGGAAAGTCAGTTAAACTTCAACTCTAAGAAGGCTGAAGTTCGCCAGTTACAAACAAAAACTTCAGCTCTAGAGCTGAAGTTCGACAGTTACAAAACAAAAACTTCGCCAGTTATAAAATAAAAACTTTAGCTCTAGAGCTGAAATTCACCAGTTAGAAAAACAAAAACTTCAGCTCTAGAGCTGTAGTTCGTCAATTACAAAACAAAAACTTCACCTCTAGAGCTGAAGTTCACCAGTTACAAAAACAAAAACTTCAGCTCCTAAAGCTGAAGTTCACCAGTTACAAAACAAAAACTTCAGCTCTAGAGCTGAATTCGCCAGTTACAAACAAAAACTTCAGCTCTAGAGCTGAAGTTCGCCAGTTACAAACAAAAGCTTCAGCTCTAGAGCTGAAGGTCACCAGTTACAAAAACAAAAACTTCAGCTCCTAAAGCTGAAGTTCACCAGCTACAAAACGGCTCGCAGTATATTTCGACACCGTGGGAACGTGCAATCATAGGTATAATCAATCATGAAAAAGATGAAGATTCTCTTTCCAGTGAATTCTTCCATGCATGTTCACTATAAAGAGGTAATGGCAAAGGCTTTTTAAGATCATCCTTCTGTAGTGCCAAAAGAAAGAAAATTTTGAAAGTGAATTTATTGGTGATGAAATCAACTTTTCCTTCCATTTTTGGTTCTGAAAAGTCCTAAAACGTGCTTAACGACTTTGCATTTTTCCTTGAAATAACATAGGTGTACTGTTAGCTTCCTTTGAGAAAATTTCAGTTTTAACATAGAGGACTAGCGTATACTTGGAGAGAAAGTAGTCTTTTAATAAAGAAGGGCAAAATAGTCTTTTTAAAAGGCTTTTAACAAAAAAAAAATGGGTACGGGTGCAAACAGGAAAACAAAGCGACTACAGGTTAAAAAGGGGCGCCCTATTGCAATTTTCACCCGTGAGTAGGAGTGGCAAACGGGCGGGTCGGTTCGGATATGGTTCGGATCGAAAACGGGTAATGAAAAAACGGATAAATTATCCGATCCGACCTAATACGGATAAAAAACAGGTTAATCGGAGGATGATATGTATAACCATATTATCCATTACTTCTTGCATGTGATCATTTTTAAGAGAATACTTAGTCTCCCTAACTTGAGGAACCCTCAATTTAAGGCTTTACAAATGTAAAAGTGAGACTCATTGGTTATCCATTTGGATAACCATTGGTTATCCATTTTTTTAAATGGATAATATGGTTCTTATCCACATTTGACCCGTTTTTAAAAGTTCATTATCCAACCCATTTTTTAGTGGATAATATAGGTGGTTAACTGTTTTCTTTTAACTATTTTGCCACCCCTAGCCGTGAGCATTGACCACTTTTTTTGTACTTTTAAGTTTTTGGAGAGGTTATAACTTATTACCCTGCTTTTGACTTGGTCATAGAACAATTTTTCCTTCTGATTAACTTAGTTGCAAAGCTTGAAGTTCAAAAGCATACTCTAGTTCTTCAATACAGAAATACTCGAAAGATAAAATATTAGAGAATTCCTGCACTGTTATGCAGGCCCCAAATAGAACTCGGAATGTAATCAACAATACATAGTTTTAGCTATTTACACCTTCCTATGAAACATGCCTTTGCACCCCTTTCCAAAAATCAATACCCAAGTGTCTTATATAAGATAGAAGAACCTGCCAAGATAGCATATTTTCTCTCACAGTAGTAATTCAACTTCCATCAAAAGCAGACAGCAGGAAAGGGAGATTAGTATCTCACAAGAAACATTTCACTGTAATAATTAGGAAAGAGGGGCCACCCTTTGTCAAACTGGTATAACGGAATTTTGTATATATCGTCTACAAAAATTATGTGCATCTGTGGATGCAGTTCAATCATCCTCTTCTTCCTTGGATGAAATCCTGTAAGAGAACTCCGCACGAGCTTCTTCTAACTTCACAAAAAGCTCCTTCATGAAATTAGTGTTTGTTCCATGAGTAATTCGCAGTATCTCTGCTGCCTTGGCTAGTGACCTGTACGCTTCCTCAGTCTCACCAAGCCACCTGTAATGAACAAATCAGCACCACGGGGAGATCATTAACGAAACCACCACTTTCTCGACATTTCTTTAAGAATGTTATAAACTGTAGGTTCCAGCTTTTACCATGTTTCCAAGAAGCTCAAAATTCGCAACAAGTTGTGTAACTTGAACAAGAAATCCTACTTAATGGAAAAACTGTCGCTAACTTCATTAATAGTTTTTGAAGTCACATAATTTCAGAAGTTAAAGCAAATCTTGGATCACTGATAAAGTTGATGAATGTATCAAAAATCCTCAAAGACTTTCAAAACCGATCGAACTCGCTCTGTTTCTCTGGATGTTTCTATACTAGGACCAAGATCAACAAAATAAAACAGAACAAGCCAGGAGGAGCAGATCTCCAGACCACGAAATCGCTGCAGAATATATCTAATCAGCTAACATGAGAGCGCCCATAGTTTTATCGTCTCAACTGCTTAAATTAAGTAGACTAAAATTTCTCTGTATACAAAGACAAGTGTTTAACACACATCAAAAAAGAAAAAACAAAGACAACTGTTTAAAAATCTCTAAGCAGTTTTTAGACCCTTATACAATGGAGTCCTGAAATATTGGTATGAGTTATCATGTAATGGGTGTTGGTGAGAGAGTTAAGAAAATATACAGAAGAATTGAGGATCAATTTGGGCTTCTACCAAATACACCTATCCTTTTTTCGCAGTTTCGGCACTCTTTCATATGCATGCATTGTACTGGACTAGTAGCATATTATGCATAGACGTTTAAATGTAGGCTACCATGTAAGTGTCCTGGAATTGTCTGGTACAATAGTCTGCTTGGCACTTGTCCTAGAGACTGTAGAACTTAAGACAAACTAATTTCTTAGGCAGTACTTTCATTTTTGAGGCACTTCAATAAGTGCATACACTTGCATAAATTAGTCCATAAAGTTCTAATATACATTTATACTACTACTTAATTCGGGTGACTATTAAATGTATTTTCCAAGTCTTATGATTCCTTATAATCTTTTATTTACTTAAATTATATGTGCTATTTATTATTTAACTGTCATGTCCTTATTTTTTCTTAAATAAGTGTTAATGATGTAAATGGCTAGGCTTCAGTTAAAGCAACTACAGGCCACCTCGAACACCTGTTTCAAACGGTACACGAACTTCCCCATGCCTCTAGGGGCATTGCTATAACTTCACCAGAAGTTGGCACATGCAGGATACTTGTGCAATATTGCAACAGGATATAGTAGATCTAAACAAAAGTCTGATAATCAAGATAATGAAACATGAAATAGAAAGAGGACAACTGCAAAAGCCAGAAATATGCAACACAATATATTGAAAAACCAAAAGCTCTCTAACCATTCAAGTTTTCCACAAGTGTAATACTGCAGTCCGAGCAAAGGATGACACTCTGGATAAACTCCTATCAAAAGAGGAAATATTACCATATGGAGAAAACATGTAGATCTTATAAGTATATATGTTCAGAAAGCAGAGCAAAACTATTGGAAAACGGAACTTTAGTGCATGACTAAGTTCAGAAAAAGTCGTTACTTATTTATACATGCTGGTGATACGTAGGAAGTATAAGAAAGTTTCTTGGTTATACAAAGCGAAGCAACTTAAATCTATACATCTCCCAAATCACATGTTCCTTCAGAAGGAATGTTAATTATCTCCAGGTAAAACAAGCATGTCTAATACCAAAAAGAACAGAAACGCAACAGAATTAGATTTAACATCTCAGGCAGAAGAGCAAAACAACAGGGTCCGGGGCGCATGAGCAAAATAAAGTCATGATGATTAGCATTTGTTACGCAGACCTACAACTGGCACCAACAAGGGATATAGCTTAAGAATGTAGAAAAACCTGCTCTCTCTCTCTCTCTCCATTAGAATTTAGATTCCTTCTTTCGTTTGAGCGTGATTATTATGATAAAGTAAATTTTTTGTTGGGTCCAAGAGCAGAGAATTCACTTATTGAATTAAATATAAAACTGGATCTCATAGTACTTTCTTATAGTAGAAAATTGAATAAGTATTGAGAATATAGTGTTTTAGAAATATAGACCCAACTTCGAGACAACCTAAAACAGGAAGTGGGTAGATTAAGGGTGGCAAGTGGGCCGGTGACCTGCCCGGGACAGTGGTTCAAACGGGCCAAACGGGTTGGGACCGGTATATTTGGGCCTGGGCCGGTCTCGTAGGCCGGTTCTTTGCTTTGGGACCGGTAGGACCGGGACCGTTTGGCCCGGACCCAACGGTAATTTTTTTTTAAAAAAAACTAGCCGTTCCTCAAATTTAAAAAACAGCCGTTGGGCTGTCAAAAATAGCCGTTGGCTATTTAGAAAATAGCCATTTAACCTCCCCCACCCC